CTACCATGAATTACAGGTGCTTCCAGTCTTTGCCAAACACCAATGTAGCATGACATTGTGATGTGAAGGCCAATTTTTTAAAATAAAATTTTAAGTAAATGTATGGGCAAGTCTCTTCCTGTCAGTATTTCTTAATAAGAGTATCTGTAGATAACATCAGAATACATTAATATTACTGTGAATTAGCTGATAGTATAAATTACTGATGACGCAAAACCAGAATAGGTAATTTTATATTTTAAAAATTACAAGCTTCAAGTTCCATTGTCGAATGCTTTCAACGTTAATTGACCATCCACATCTTGCTGTCCTTTTATTTCTAGTTCTCTTTTGAAATGTCTTTCATACTTGTAATGCACCCTGACCATGTCTCTTCTTCTATTAACTCAATTTATTTTCAAACGTTTCTCATTTTTCTAGTGATTTAAAACAATCGTGAGAGCCTGAAGTTTTGTTCTCTGTGTGAAATTTTATGTTCAAATTGCATAAATTAGTACTTGAATATAATTAAGTACTGGATTTTATTGTCTGGAGTGGTTTTTCATGTACAGGAGAGAAGAAATGTGCTGCAAACAAAATCTGAAAATGTTGTCTGCCCATTTATTTGTTCATTGCCACTTGCACACAAGCTGAATTTTTTAGGGTCTTTTTTAAGTATCTACAGCACATCTTAATATGTGGTATTTCTGTAAATCTTCATTATGAGAAAATTTTGATTGTGTATTTTTCTTCTTAACCATTTTCCAAGTAAATTAATAAAAAACTAAGCACATGTTAATATCTCATCAGCAGACAGGCAGGCAGGAATTATCTTAGGTGATTTCTAAGAACCTAAAGATTAAACTACACAAAACAATAATTTTGCCCATTGTTTTGTATGGGTGTGAAACATGGTCTCTCACTCTGAGGGAGGAACATAGATTGCAGGTGTTTGAGAATAGGGTGTTGAGGAGGATATTTGGGCCTAGGAGAGAAGACGATGGGGTATGGAGAAAACTACATAATGTTGTGCTTAGAATTTCACTCTCTCCACCCCTCCCAATATTGTCAGTGTGATTAAGTCAAGAAAAATGAGATGGGTGGCACACACAGATGGGGCAAGAGGTGTGCACCTGTACTGGTCAGGAACCCTGAAAGGAGGAGACATAGATGGGAGGTAGGAGTTGAAGGAGACTGGATTTTGTTGGCCTAGGATGGTCCGGTGGAGGGCTTTGGTTAATTCAGCGATGAACCATCAGGTTCCATAGGCCATCTAGTTATCTCTTGAATCCAAGTTAATCACATGAAAATCTAAAATGTTGGTTGTATGCAACTACAAGACAACTTCAGCTCTTAAATCATTCATACAAAATCAGTAGTATTTAATGGAACGTTACACTTGAATTTTCTAATTACATGGGTATTTTACTTGGAAAGGAGGCATTAGATGGAATTTCATCACAGAAACAACCTTAAGATGTGAGATAGGGTAATCAAATGGAATTTTTTGATAGAATCAACTGAGGTAAAATTGGGAATATGGAGAATTATATGGATGTTTCTATTGACAAGTGGCAAGACTACATTACCTTATGTTGTTTACACTTAACTTTGTCAGTCATGTTGTAAGGCACCTACCTGCATTAAATTCCTGACCATCAAAGTAGACATTCATATTACTGTATGATTTGAGGGCACAGTTGAAATACAGTATATGCCATGAAAATTACTTTTGCATAAATTCAAAAGTTATTAATAAAACTTAATTTTTCAATGCATTACTTCAGTTCTTGAAGCAGTACAAATGTTTGTATTGCTGAAAACCATTGTTTTCCATTTCTTTCTCTGATTCAAAATGTCTGGGAATTTTACATCTCTAATAATGAGAATTAAACTAACTTCTCTATTAAAAAACGTTTATCATTATACACTAATGGATCCAACTGTTATTTTAATACTTCAGCACATATAGGCAGAATGTAAAAACGTTCAAGTTCTTTGTAGTGCATAAAAATAACAGATTTAATATAAGTGCAATTTTAAATCAGAGGCGTGTATGTGTTCACAGAAACTTGTCAAAGAATTAATTTTGTTTCATATCAATCGAGCATGAACCCTTTACATGAAATTCAAAGCTTTTTTTTCCTGAAAAGGTTCCTTCAAATATTTATCTTATTTATGATCTAAAAATTTTGTTTGGCAAAAAACAATTCTTGAGTGGGTCATGTCAATACAATTGCAAAATAACGGGAACATTAATTGATGTTCAGTATTTTTCTACCTACTCTTGTATGTTTCTATTTGTTCATTAATGACAATCGTTAGCTACGACTATAGCATTGAAAGATAGGATGATTAATTAATCTGAATAGATACAGGCGCAGTAGTGGCTAAACTTAAGTATTATACCAGCATTTAACTGGACAAAAACCCTAAGGATAATCTGTCTTCGGACCGATATTTAAACTCCCGCATATGATGGAGAGCTAACCACTTGGTTGTAACATTTTACATAGACAATCCATTGTTATGTACTTGGTAGATTTTGATCACTTATATTGAAACATTTATGAGAGACTCAAGTTGAGTTTGTGTGCTGAGAACTGATGAATTTCACTCAGCAGAACATGAATACATAAAACTTTCTTTTACATACCTGCTTGGAAGATGGTTTGTAGCGTCGAAGCCTCCGAGCACTCCCTAATACATCACAGTTTGAATTCTTTGTGGTACACTTCGATACACCTACACACAGCCCCATTTCGCACTCCTGGCATTTTACACGCTCTTTCGCATCTCTCTTGTGGAACAGATGCAACAGTTCACTCTAGAGGAACGAAATGGCCAATGATTCTTAAGTTTACCTCAATCCAACGAACATTTTTCTGTACTACAGATGGTTTGTCCATGGGATAATGGGGACAACCTAAACTCCCAGCATTTTCAACCAAGTTTTAAGTTTGTGTGTTTCATATTTGCACCATGTGTTGTTAGGAGAAGAAACTTACTAAAAACAATCATGTTCGATTGGTGGAAAGAAAACGTTTCACCCACTGGATTGCATAAATGTTGGTCATTCTGTCACCTATTTTCTGGTTATAGTCCTGTACAGTCTGTGGCCCAAAAGAAATTCCACAACATCACAAAAGTTACCTTCTGTTGGTGGATTGTACATATCCATCAGCAAATGCACATCATGTTTTATCTCTCTAGACCACTGCCATCTAGTTATCTCTTATCCTGAACTGAGTAATGTCATGTTTCGGTAATTTTTTGTGGTAGGTCATGCTGTTCTGCAACATTTGATTTTATGTTTAGTCAGATTGCTGAACAAGTCAGGAGACAATAAAATGTATCTGTATTTTGTTGTCCTTCCCAAAATAGACTTCCATGTCATTCGTAGCTAGTCTCGTCACGTAATAAATTTTAATTCCAAAATGTTGGTGTTCCTAGCGCAGGGGTTCTCAGCCTTTTTCGCTGACATACTACTAATTCTAAATTAACACATTAATGTACCACTAACCAAATGCGTTCAGGGAAAACTGTACCTTGTGTTAATATTAACTTATGATTTTCTTACTTAGTTCGCATACCATAGGTTGAGAAAAGGTTCTAGGGGATTTCATGTTTGAAAATTACCCTTCCTTTGAAGACTTCTTCCATAGCCAGATACTTAGGAGCATCATATTTTGAGTGGGCACTGTTCAGCAAGTCAAAAACATTTTTTACTCTGATTTCCATAGAGTTACTTTAAAAATAGTCTGCCAGCTGTCTCATATCATGTTGCATTTGAACTTTAATCAAGAGAAACATTTAAGTTTAAGTAACGTCAAAATTGGAGAAGGTCCATCATCAAATTCGTCCAAGTACTGGTTGGTCTCCTCCTACATCAGAGTGGTAACAGGCACAAAAGGTTGTATTAAGTCACTGATATGGACATACCAGTTTCTGTCATTGCCAGGTTTGTCACCAGCGAACTAAGAGTCACTCCTGTTTGTCCAATCTGTCAGTTGTCCCCATGAGAAAGGCGTATTAATTTTACTATGAGATTTTAACTTGAGTGCTAACTAAACACGTAATAGTTACAAGCTAGGTACAGTCATCTCTAAGACCTGGCACTAAATCTGCAGTATGAGGTTAAATGTGAAGAATAAGCAATTGAAAACACAAACATAATTGAAATACCAGAAAATTATGTAACTAAGTATATATGAAGACTTACTATTATGAAACTTTGTATATGGGTAAATGGGTTCATTCTAAATAAATGTTTTTACTTGGTGTTTCTAGCTTAAAAAATCCAATAAACACACAGTATTTTGTAACATTCTGCATTGTCTGTTTAGTTGCCAATTAAATCTGAATATATGTGTGGGGATGAGGAATTGAAATGGTGAATCATACAGTAAAATTGTGTTTAATATATAATATTCGATTTGTAAATAGTCATATGAATGATAGGATATAGTAACGAAAAGTTAATGAAGTAGACAACCTATTTCAGGGACATCCTGTAAAGATCAATAAAGTTATGCATTTAAGGGCATGAAGAAAAACATTTTAACTGTCCTACATGAACTGTATCAGCAGTGAATGATTCAAGGATAATGAGGACTGTGAAATAACAACAACAAATATTGTCTTAAATTTTGGTACATATGGTACTTAATACAGCAAGTAATCTGTATATGTCCTGTATTTTAATTCTGTGATGCAAAACACTGCTGATATTGGCACACCAGTTCTTGACCTCACAAGATCTTGGACATTAATATGTTTTCATTTTAAACACAATTATGATTGTGCCGAAACCACAAACATCCACCATGAAGCAGTATCACGTTTATATATGCAATGAAACGGCAACAATGCTGCCAATTTTATTTTTTATTTACGAGCTACACGTAAATAGTTAAAAAAATTGTTCAGTTCTGAATCTGCTTCACAGCTGGATGTGGGCTTTCAGCATCCTGGAAAACAATTTCTCCAGCAATCCAAGTAGACCACACCTTCAGGTTTTCACCCAAGAAGACAAAATCTGCATCTGCTCCGAATATCAGAGTTCCCTTTCTGTCATGAATGCCAATTGCTTGCGCAGGATGAAGGGTAGCAGCTTCTAGGGCAGTCACCATGGAACACGCTATAAATACAGTGAATAAACAGTCAGAATCACGTCACAAACGCACACCAGTATGACTTCTCTGGCCAAGTATTCTCCTGTTTTGTATGGGAATGAAACTGTTCACACAAAGGGAAGAACACATTGTCTTTATACACATTTCATGAAGTCATTAAATCAGACAAAGGAGGTTACAAACATGGTTCATAACTAAAGAAACAAGAGACAGACATGAATTAAATCTGAAATAGAGGCTCTGTATCAAAGTTCAAAAATATCTTAATTTTGGATCACACTAGCATATTAGAAAAAAAAATTTATTATATGAAAATTAAGGACTTTGGCACTTTGCCATGAGATATATCATTCTGAATTCAGCTCTATACGCCTGATCTATGGCAATTTTAAAGTGTACTGACGATCACTAAATTCTTGGACTATATGGGCTAATATATATATATTTAATTTTATTTTACACAACCCATTCTTCAGTGCCTGAGCATCTGCAGGTCCCAACTTTTCATTGACTCTGACCTATAGACGGTAGGACTCCTAGGACGAGTGATTGGCCCGTCGCAAGGCCTCTACCTGTACGTGGGACAACACAACACAGAGAGATGCAGACAAACATCCATGCCTTGAGTGGGATTCGAAAACACAATCCCAGTGACGAAGCAGCACAAGTCACACGCCTCATACAGCGCGGCCACTGAGACGGCTATATATAAACCGTGTATTCCCGCACACACACACACACATGAAAACAAAACAAAAAAAACTTACATGTAGCGTTCCTGAAAAACTGGATACACTGGTTCATGTTTGCAATGCTGCCACAGAGAGTCTTAGTGCCCGCCACCACAGCACATCCACCTTTCACTTCAATGGCAAACTGCCCGAGCTGGTGCGTTCCTTCTTCCAATCCAAGTGCTGAGATGGCATCTGTTACCAGCACTAAACCTTTAAAAATACACAATTGTATAATAAATACAAAATTGTACAAAAGATTTAATATTTAAAACATTCTTGAATATCATTTGTCTTTACACAGGAAAACATTCTACATCAATCAAGTGAATATTAGTGAAACTTAATATTGGGCGTTGTTCTTACTAAACTGTACTGATGAAATTTAATTTTGGTCGCTTGCTGAAAAATTTATTACCCCATTTCATGAAATGTTACATTTTAACTGGAACCAACCCACAGATCACAGTGCAAGAAGAGTGGAAACAATTATAACACATAACTAGTACAGTACTGACCATTCGGGTGTGTACAATGAGCTATGCGCAGTGCTGCTGGATGAGTGTGGATTCCATCAGAAATGATACCATAAAAAACCTTGTGTCTGTCACTCCGATTGATGTCGGATCCAAGCAGACCTACGAGGCCTGGATCCCTATGATGAAACTGAAATGTGAAAGGATGTCTTATGTCCTCTAAATATGAATATATTAAACATATATACATTCATGATAAAATTGGGAGGATAAGACACAAGAATTAATTTTAGTGAAATAAGTTGTGAGGATATATGATATTAAGAATCTAGTTTGTTAATATCACTATAAACCTCTTCAACAACAGAAAATTTATGGCTGTTATATGTTCGATATCAGTGTTTCTCGGCCTTTGAAATTATCGGTCAGTATGGAGCTTCAAAGTCCCCTGCAGACAATTTCCCAATACTTCATTGACAAATTTTATATAGAAATGTGCCAAAAATATACAAAAAAATATTACGGTGTTATAAAAATTAAATTCAAAGTATTTTTCTGCTTTAAAATGTTATCAAACTTGGATAAATTTTTAGGTGAGGACTGGTAACATACACATTTTATATTGTTACATCACGCATTTTCACTTCAACAATAAATTACAAAGGAAATAAATTTTATTTATTCATGTAACGATAAGATAATGTTATGATCAGACACTCCTGTATCAAAAGGTGGTATTGCGAACATAGTAACCTAATTCCATACTTAATAAAGCCCACTGTGCCAAATAGGGTTCATACTTACTGGTGGCATAGCATTGAATAAGTGTGTTACAAATGTGGCTCCATGTTTGACTCCAGTCTCACTTTCACTTAAACTGGCCATAGAATGTCCTGAAACATGAAGTTATCAGGTCTAAAAATCATGAATTACATTTATTTTTGAGGAAAACAAAAGCACTGTGGTATAGGATATAAAAAAAGACCAGACCTGTCACTGGCATTCTATAAAGAAAGCACAGAGCCATTATAGAAAAAGAGTCAAAATCCCAGATATTGGAAAAGAAACTTGAAATATTGTGGACAGTTGGAAATTTGAGCCATTTCTAAACTTTTTTTTCTATCAAACATTCTTCTTGCAAGATTAACTCCATATATGAATGAAATTATTGGGGATCATCAGTGTGGGTACAGACATAACAGATCAACAACTGATCAGACCTGCATTTGTCAGATACTAGAAATAAATGGGAGTACAATGGGACTGTACATTAATTGTTTATAGATTTTAAAAAAGCCTACAACTCTGTTAAGAGAGAAATGTTAAACAACATTTTCATTGAATTTGATATACCAAAGAATCTAGTGAGTCTAATAAAAATGTGCATAAATGAAACCTGTAGCAAAATTTATATAGGTAAATATTTATCTGATTCATTTTCCATCAAGAATGGTTTGAAACAAGGAGATGCTTTGTCTCCATTGCTCTTGCAGACCACTGGGGAGACCTAGATGTAGATGGGAGGATAATATAAGGCAGGATCTACAGGAGATATGAGTTTAAGGCAATTGGATTTTGCTGGCTGAGGACAGGGACCGGAGGGGGGCTTTGGTTAATTCGGTGATGAAGCTTAGGGTTCCCTAAGCCATCTAGTAATGTTTCAGATTATGAACAATATATAGTACAGTACAGTACAGTAGAGTTCTTTATGAAATTTAAGATATAAAGATAGAAAACAAATGAGAAAAAGAACCTTCATCTTTCAGGATCATCACCATACCTAGAGATACAGTAATTCCTCTGTGTGTTAATTCTTCTATTACTTCCACAGCATTATTCAACTCAGGTGCCAAGGTTATAATTCTCACATTTTCCATAGATCCATAAACATCTTGAAGAGATTTCAAACCCTGAAATAAAAAGAAAGGTATTAATACTGTTCTCTGATGATTTTCAAATGTATGCTATTTGAAAATTTATTTAGCTTTCCTGTTACATATAAAACATTTACGTTCCATATTCACATTCAGTAGCCTGACATTCATTGGTATTGTCCGTATTATTCTTCCTGGCCTCTGGCCAGCGTGTTGGGGAATGTAGGGGAAGTAGTGGGGGAACTCTCTCAGAAGCACCATACTTCACTGAAGCAAGCTGTTCTACTCGTCTAATGAAAAACATCTGCCCTAAGTACACAATACTCGGGACACGCAGAAAAGAACTCCGGATTTTTATTGTAAAGTAGTGCAGCTATACCACCACCACTACTACTACAAAACACTTTCACTGCACCAAAGTATTTTAAAACACTACTGGTCGGTGTCACTGTCCATTTTTAATAAAGCGACCCCAGATATTGAATATAACCCAGCACCATGTTCATCATCTCCATCTTAGCTCGTGTCCGAACTGCTGTCAATTTTAGAACTGCTTTTCCCCACACGCAAAACTTCCTGACCTTCGTCGAGTGGAGCTTCGTTAGAGATGTACCAAGATTCTGGTTACATCTTCGTTTACAGTCGTCTTTGGTGATTAAAGCAAATTTCTCATCTGCGAGCTAGATCACGTCTTATTAATTCATACAAATCTGGCTTATGCATGCTTTCCGTATGTAGAATTCTTGTCTTCATTCAGCCAAGACATCATGGCGCTTTTCTTTGTAATCGATGTTTGAGGTGGATCGATCTGAACATTGTGGAACGGAGCATTATCTGATACCAAAACTCTGTGTGGGGATTTATTTGGAATTAGCCTCTATTAACCAATTCTCAAAATTGTTAAAAATCATGTCGCTGTAACAATCTCCTGTAGTTTGGCGAGATTTAAAACATGTGTATGCGTTAGGAATTAAACCTTGGTCACTGCCGTCGTACTTTAGAGACAGGAGCAAGCAGGCCACTTACAGAATCGTCACTCCAATCGAATGGCACCGAGTGAAAGCCATGGATGTATGTCTCATCCATAAAAACTATGGGTCTACCTTCACTTCTATACTTCGCTATGCTCCTTAAATATATCCTCAAAGGTATATGATATAATATTATGGCGTTCCATGAGGATTCGTCGATTATTCTTTGGTTTTGTATATCTAAAACCAAACCTCATTAGCATTTTTCTTTAAGTTGATGGGCTCCCTGCAAACCCGATTTACCGGCCAACTTCGCATGGATTTTCTTCAGCGTTGGTCTTTGCTTGTCGGTGATATAAGTCATTAATAGTCGTACAAATAACACATTCATTAAAGTAGTCCAGCGTTGATTTAGATGATACAAGTCTCTCTTCATGAGTTTGCAGCGAATGAAGTCGATTCACCGGATTCTGTGATTCTTATTTCTTTCACTTTTCTTCTGAGCCAAAGTGCTCCTTCAGGAAACAATCCAACGGGGGATGTTCTAGTTCTATTTGTCATTGCCTTCCTCGGCGACCCCCCCCCCCCCTTATGGACATTGAACATACAATTTATTTCTTGCCGACACAACAGAAATAAAATGTACATTTATAACTTTAACCAACTAGCCCTTTACCATAAAATCTTACAATACAAAAAATAAAGCTCTCTTGGTCTCAGTAGTTCTCGCTGAGAGACAGGGTAGCTACTCATCCCTCGTGAAGTCAACCACTCAACCAGAGTAAAATACCCAGCAAATTACAATTCAACAAAGAATTATCTACCTCTAAATCTCGGGAACACTTGTACGCCAACAGCCATACTCCTCCACCAACGGCGGTTCGACCTAGAGAGACACCAGTGCCCTACCGAAAATCGTACTAGATACTGCAACTCCTCTCCAATCCTGCGCAGGCGCAGGTCAAAAACAGATACTGCGCCACCATCCTTTTACAGAAAGCCCTCACACAGTCCCGAATACGATTCCATTACTTCTCAACCCATCAGAGCCCAGGGGTAGGCTGACTTTTAAGAGACATCTCTGATGCTACTGTTGCCTCTGCTACTTTTTTCTGGGTTTTCTTTAGGTTCATGGGAACTCCTGCATCAGCCTCTCTTTTCATAAATGTATATACATCTGCCACAACCTCTCGTGTGTGGCTATGAATAACTTTGCTTTGCAATATACTTTAAAAAGGAGGCATCTTAAAAGAGACCGAATGTTTGTACGTTAGTATCACAAGTCGGCAGTGTCAGCAATACAACCTCATGTGTCCACAACTAATCCAAACACCCCTTTGAGAAGCAATACCGGAATGTGAACTCGCCCAAACCCACGGCGCACTCACAAACGAGAGGCCAGGTAGAATAACACAGACTATACACATAGCATACCCTATCGTAATACTGAACGCACCTACAGACAACACTGAACATTCTCACAAATGGGGTTTTCGGTGAATCAGCCATATAATTATGACCACTATATGTGGTAACTATATATGTTTCTGAATAATACATTTGCTGTAAACCTAACCTAACTCTTGTACGAATCCAATTTAAATACAGGACTGTGTAAATCATGAAATTTTGTTGGATAAATTGCATTTTTATGGCATTCAAGGAATAGCAGCGCAATGGTTCAGATCCTATTTAACAGATAGAAAACAAAAGGTCTAAGTAAAAGCACCTAAAAACAAACAAAATTTTTTCTCAAACTGGAGAACAATAAAACATGGGATAAAACGAATATAATAAAATTTATAACAAATAACTCACCACAGCTTGCTTTAAGTATTGGTTATAATGGGAAGTATATACAAGAGTCAATAAACACAAAATTCTTGGGTTTGCAAATTGATAATCACCTAAATTGGACAAATTATATTGATAAACTGGTACTTAAGTTAAGTGGTGCATGTTATGCAGTTAGATCTCTGTTGCATGTCAGCAACACTGACACTCAGATCAGTATATTTTGCCTATTTTCACTCTTTAATGAAGTATGGAATAATTTTTTGAGGAAATTCATCAAACAGTAAAAAAATTTCACTTTACAAAAGAAAATTATTAGATTATTGGCTGGTGTAAAACCTAGAAATTCATGTAGAAGTCTATTTAAGAGATTAGAGATCTTAGCTCTACCTTGTGAATACATATTCTCATTAATGAACTTTATTGTAAATAACCAAGAACTCTTTCAAACTAATTCTGCTGTATCATTTTGTATTAAAGACTGACAATTACACTGAATGTAGGAAGAACACGACACCAGCAAGTGAGTCATACAGTAAAACCATAGAGGTATCACGGTCATCCCCGCTTTTAAGAACTTCAGACAGATTTTTAAAAATTGATCTTGTTTGGTAATGAAAATTAAGAGAGGCTACTTAAGGTCCTGAATGTACTGGCATTCACCCACTTTATCCATATTTTGGATGTACTGAGCAGGATGGGCACCTTTCTTGTTCACATTGATGAATGGTCCTTCCAAATGAGCACCAAGAATGGCTGCACCTTCCGGTCCACCAGGCCGTTTCTTGAGCAATGGCAATACCTAGTCATTAATAACATGAGAACATCAACAATCTAAATGGATATGAAATCAACTGGAATGATGCAATGTGCTGATGGGAACAGATACAAATAAAAAAATAATATGAAAACACCAGACACATAAATCAGTCAATATTTTAATTAATAAGAACTCACAGTCAACAAATCAGCAAATGTATCCATTCATGCAGGTATACTTTGTTAAAAAGAAAAAAGATGTATTATTTGAATTCTAAATATAGTCAAAGTAGGTTGCGCACACGGCTTTTGTTATTTCTGTCTTTAAGGTAATTATGGCACTACCATGCTGTATGTTTCAAGATCACACCGAAACCTTAGAATCCAGTATTATTACATGACAACAGACAGTAATTAGTTGAAAACATGGCTTCAAATCACAATGGAGGAGGTATTTGCTACTAAACTAACTACATGGCTTAGGTAACCTGAAGGTTCATCACCAAACTAACCAAAGCTCTCCACTGCTCCCTGTTCTGGGCCAGCAGAATCCAACTGCCCTCAACTCCTATCTCCCATAGATGCTGCCTGATATTATCCTCCCATCTACGTCTAGGTCTCCATAGCAGTCTCCAGCCTTCAGGCTTCCTGGCCAATACCTGGTTCACACCACTTGCCCCATCCATGGGAATATTGTATAACACTTATCTCTTTTTTTAAATCTATATACAACTGATGTATAGTCCCACTGTACTCACATTTTTTATTGTTTCTGACACATGCAGAATATTTGATAAATTGTTTATCTGTTCCATTTTAACCCACATAGATGATCCCCAATAATTTCATTCACATATGGAGTTAATCTAACCAGGAGGATATTTGACAGAATTTTGTATGAGGTTGATAGTAGATAAATTCCTTGGTAATTACCACACTCAATCTTGTCTCTCTCCTTATGAACAGGAATATTTATGAATTCCTTCCATTGTTATAGCATCTCTTCCTTATCCCAAATTAAATGAATAAGCTTATGGATCTCCATATATAACATTTTTCATATGCTTTAATTAATTATGTTTGAAATCTTGCTTGCTTCATTCAGTCTATTAATTTTGAGCATTCTTCATCAAACCATGGTTTATTTTTCTTTCTCCTGTAGTATCCTAGTTTCTCTTTGGTTGACATTTTGATACAGTTTCTGACATTTTACCACTCCCTGTCGATATTCACACTTTCATCACCTTTATCTATGTCTAAAATTGAGAACTGTTCGAAATTTTGACTTGATATATTGCTCCTTTACCTCCCTCATATATTTTTTAAAAAAAAAATCAAATCATTCTGTGTCAAATTTTTGCTTACTTTGTCTACTTACACACACCTTATGGCTTAACAAGCAGTTACTGCATGCCCACACAGTCATTTACCATACTTCAAGTGTCTCTTTTGGTATGAATCTATTCCTTACAAGTTTCATTAGAAAATAAATATATAAAACACATACACATAGGATTCCCAATAATATGGAAACACACAAGGTTAATATTCCATGTTATAATGTGTATATATCCTTTTGGGAAAACCTGTATATAAAGTTATATCTATACCAAAGTGTCACTGTGATGATGCTATTCACAGAACTCACCTTGAGGTACACGTAAGGTGGTGATGTGACAAGCGTTGGACAGAAAGCTGTGACACCATGTGCCAGAAGTCCCTTTGCCACTTTGTGTATACCTGCTTCAACATCATCATTGTTGTACGAGAAGTCAATGCCAAAGCCACCTAAAATGTTACATATACATTATATACCTTAATCCTGGTTGTGGCAAAATTACTTCTGAATACAAATTAATTGTTAATTTCTTCAAAGTAGACTCAACCGACAGAAAAAAATTATTTCACATCCAAAAGAAAACCATTCAAATAATAGAAGACACTAAAGGGAGAGCTTCAAGTAGGGATTTAAGAAATGTAATATTCTTCCACTAGCCAGTAAGTTCTTGATCCCATTTCATTCAAGTGTAGTGGACAACACAGAAAAATTTCAAACAATCTGATATCCACAATATAAATACAAAATACACATATAACCTTAAAGTGCCACATAGTAACTTCAGTAAATAACAAAAGGATTTAACCATACTGGAGTTATTCAGTTATCTTCCCCCCACTATAAACTCTGAACCACAATAAAAAGAAGTTCAGGCCAGCAATAAAATGGTATATCCTATCTGACACCTCCTACACCACAGAAGAATTTACCTCAACCAAAAATTCACATGTATTATAAATACATTTAAGCAATAATGATGATGATTCCTTGTGTAATTATTGTTGATGCAATACTGTAGTTGACTGTAAATCGCTATCATAATTATATAATTTATAACTGTACTAGAAACAAGTATTATATTTGTGCTATGACGTTCTACATCCTTGGTTTCAGTTATAAAAGCTTTATGGAATGTAAATACATTCTATTCTACAAACTCACAGTTTTTTAAGACATTAAATATATAAAAGCAAAGTTAACTTGAAACTAACTTAACCTTTCGTTCAGTAGCAGAAATTCCTGTGCACCAGAAGTAATACTTATACAATTATGATTTGGTCATCATAACCTCATTTGTAATAATGAGGTGTATGAAGTAGAAGTAGCATTTACTGATGGTTCCTACCCTCTGCACCACACAAATGAAAAATAATAATTGTACACAAAGCAATTGATAGTAACATATTTGAGCAACTGCCCTGAGCTTTATATTTTTGTAGATCCCCACATATTAACAGCACAGGAAGGGAAGTTCATTCTGACAGCTGTAATCAGTCATTTTGATAAGTGGAAAGTGCATATTTCATGGTTCAACTGTGGTTTCCATATTCTAATAGGAAGAAATGACTCACTTATTCCCAAAATCTGTAAAAAAAAGTATTTCTAGTTGCTTAAAGTTATAAAATGTACTTTGTCACAGTTCTCTGGCAGACTTCGAATCACTTTGGGTTTACAGTTACTGTTTAAATTTCAGCCAAAATACATGCATCTTTGACAATATAATGAAATTTGAATTTCTGCATATCATTAACACTTCAGTCATATACCACTAGATCAGAAAGATATTTATTTTGTAACATAAGAACACGAGTGTGTGACCAAAAACACTTCTACTTCGGGTCTGGTAAGTACTGGTTTCTAATCCCATCCCATGAACTAAACATACTGACTGTGATTTTTGCTATTTTCCTGTTCCTCCAAGCAAATGCTGGGATAGTATATTAAATTAGGCCACAGCTGCTTCCTTCCATACCATTTTCTGTTACTCTATTATTCAATACGATATAATATGAGCTACTGAAATTCGATTTACCACAAATAAATGCATAAATAAATTAAATGTGTGCCTGTGTAAATCTGTGATAGTAATATAACAGCTTTTAATTGCACATAAATGTTAGTATGTAGCTCTCAGTCTTATTTCTCAGACAGTACTGTAGTTAGGTCAGAATGGCTTCCTTGTAGCTTCATTCTTTCAGCCTTTATAGCACACCACATATTGTGATTCCATCACAAAAGATAAAGTTAAATTTACTCAGTAGGATTTCAGGTTCTCATGATAGTGATAATGAAGACAGCTATCACCTGGGTTGCAGCACCATGGAGCAAAGACCTCTGAAATGGTGAACTTCTATCAGGCTAAATGACACAACATCCCAGAAGACAGCCATCTTCTAAATTCACTCTATGTATTTCATCAATCTCATGAAATTAAAGTATACCATATACTGCAACAGCCACTTCATTCTTCACAGGCATTGATCATTAAAATGAAAACTGGTATTTTTGTGATATCAATCCAGCTTTATAAATTATACAATCAAGCAGTCATACTCCACTTTAAGTTACTACCCAAACATATGCTTGAAGGAACTTCAGAACTATAAGACATAATGAAATTTGGTCTTACAGACTGAACTTCTGTCCTAGCATACAAGAAAGGTGATTATATCAGGATATTTAGCCCAGAACTGACATCTTTCTGTAAAGAAAGATCCATAATACAATTTCTATATGAAATACTTTAACTGCACTCAAAAGAGACTAAATATTATCCTTATTATTATGTAAAAACAAAAGCGACAAGAAAATGGCCTTATTCTAACCCAACCAGAAGTGTAACAGATTCCTACACCAAGAAAACATTTAAAAATATTCTTAATAACAAAATACACATATACTGAGTGCTATAAAATACCTAATGAAAATTATAATGTACAAATGTGGGAACTTGGATAAAAGGAAACAACGCCCTGGTAAAGACATTGGTATTTGATTATCTGCATAGTGTCAACAGATTTTATAAATCAAAATCATTATAAGAAAATCTGAGGAGGCAGGTGGCAGGCACTGGTAAGTCACTACAATGTAAATACAGCATCAGATTAACGAAAAGTGAATTCTTTTTAAATAAAGTGAGCGCTGGTCTAAATGCGCATGTATGAAGTCGACGAGTATTTCATCATTGCTGTTTGGATTTCTCGACACACTTTGTACCTTGAATGAGAACTTCATTATCTAATAATTATAAAAAACCTACACTTTGAAATTATGTACGCTTTAAATTACAATTGTGTAGATATGACTACAGACACTAAAATAATAAAACTGATAACTTAACACGGATTTAAATTGCGCTAGCACCTTACGCTTCCTAGTTCTGTTTCATCATGGAAACCATAAACTTCTATAAGCGATATTAGGGAAATTACATTTTTTTTAAAATTCGCTTGGCATACTGCAAGACTTTCGAACATATAGATTACATTCACTCAGTGCAAAACCTCCCGAAATCCTGAACTGTTAGCCAACCCTAGATTTAAACCCTTAATGAAATACCTAATTTGCAAGGATCTTACACGATTCATGTTTACATTCTTAAGTACAAGTATCGGTTATAGGCTATTATATTTGGATTCCTTACCGTTTATTTGTAAATCTAGGAAACCAGGTGATATCAAAGCCCCTTTACAATCGATTTGTACATCTGCATTAATTTTCTCGTTTTTCTTTCAGGGTCCACAATTTTTCCATCTCGCACCCAAAAATCTTCCCTAATGATTGCATGGTCACGCAGTATGTGACAATTTCGAAATTGCAGGAGCTTCTTACGTGATTTCATGACAAGTTTACATTCAGCAGCAATATAAACTGATTGTTCCATAGCGAGAGCTACATTTATATATTTGCTAGTTGGCCTCTCATGTGTTGTAGATTGTAGTTATCACTGACCTACAAACTGAAAAATGTTTTAAATAGCACACTAGCCAGAATGAGGACGAGCCAAATGATTACAACACATTGCCTGAATGTGCTTCATGTTAACAATTTTTACATTATGAGGGCTGTATGCATACTTATCACAATTAGTTTCTTTCAAACTGCCTAGATGACAGCACAATCTCATACACTAAGGCGGTTAATTTAAACTTGCTACGAAAATTTCGTCGTGTTCCCTACTTTAAGTTCAAAAACTGCGTGCCAAACGTCAGATCGCTATACACTATACAAGATTTTAACAAGCTACAGTGTATTTCTTAAGGTCGGTATGAATGTCATGCCTCTGCGGTTTAAACCAAAATTTGTCAGTAGCAAACCAGGGACTTCCACAGAGCAAAACAGTGACTTTAAACACAAGATTCCACTAGGTAAGCAATAACTAAACATTTGACATTGAAGAGTTGCAATATATACACTGCATAACAGCCTGAATGGATGAAATGTTTTGTGATGAATAACAACAGTACTTTAAGTGACTATTTATTTCATAAAACAAAGAACATCATACAAAGTAATCACTCTCAGGTAAATTCAAAGATACTTAACAGTTTCCAAAAATAGTAAGAATGAATGCTGAACATTTTTAACAGGAACCCTGAATAATGAATAAAATCACTTGTGGGGCCAAAGTCTCTCATTACTTTTACACAAACTGAAAATATTTATAGGAGCAGTACATCCATGGCAATTTTTGTTTTAGCATTAAGCCCTATTAACATCAGATCTAAAATTAAATTTTAACATACTTTATGCAGTATTTTCCTGTACAATTTACATTTACCACCTTTGTATAAGACAACTGCAGATACTATAATTTTATTATTTTTTACAGTAATATTATTATTATTACTTGTGTTTTGTATAATGTTCTATTATGTTTACAGGTGTATCATATTTATAAAAAAGTAAACCATATTTTGTCAATAGTGACAAGTACATAAACAATTTGTGGATTCAAATAATAAAAAGGCGAAGATACACTTGTTTAATAAAGAAAAACTTTTCGGTAAACATTTGATCAAACAATAATCGACTAGCTCTGGGAAATTTCCTTTGGAAGATAAGTTTAGTTTGAAATATGCAAGACAAATACTAAATTGACTATGAAAAATTGGAGTAATTTTATTCTCTGAAATCCTACCAACCTCTTCTGTAACTAAAAGAAAATGAAAACATAATTGGCCCTCATGACTAATCACTGGCCATCAGTTCTGAGTGCTGGTTAAGAATATCTGCAATCAGAACAGCTGAAATTCATGAAATAAGCAATGCAAACTGTGACACATACTTAAACGGCAATATAAAAATGAAGGACTATTGTCTTTAAGAGATATACTGAATGACAAAATTTTGTTTCCACAGTATTTATACAGAACCTGGAAACAATGCTATTTATTCAATATCTTATGTAAATGTATATACTTATAATTTGTTCAGTATTACAAAGATTACAACACACTAAAACATATTTATTTAATATTTTAGTGTAATAACGATAAATGAAAACAATATATGTTTTAAATAATTCGGTGTGTCAACAGACAAAAATGTTTTAAGAGGCCTCTTTCTGATTTGCAATACATTGTTGCAACTTTGTAGACTTTCAAATTAATATAAAACAAGAAATCTGTACATATGGGGTATTGATGAAAGTGATATGTTAATAATTTGACTTCATACAAATGGGAGAACAAGCTATGATGTGGCACAAAATTAAACTAAAATACACGAGCCCACCATTTATGAAGTATGCCAAGTCACAGACTCCATCATCTTAAAAGGCACTGCAGTCTATGGGCTGAATTCAAAAAACATTTACAGAAATTTCTGATGGCCAGACCTAAACAAAATGCAGTATGTATTGTTGTTACTAAAAGTTCTAGGCCCAAACATCAAACCACTTTTATATTTGTAATACATAAGAAATGGATCTAGTACAGTGTTCTGTTTCATGACAAGGCTTATTATAACTTCTGGGGGGCTCAAATAAATGAGCAATAAAATAAAAGGACAAAACAGTAATATTTTGAGACAAAGATGAACTACAAAACTCCAAACTAACTACAATAACCAGCAAATCTGTTTCATGTTTTACATTTAAAATTTGTACTTGAACTGACTAAAAATAAAAACAAAAGTGATAAATTTTTCTATTGAAAAAAAAAATAATAATATTATTAATACACAGCATAACTACAGTACAAGTTCAGTCAATAATAACCACCAACATTTAGGACCCCACCAAAATACCACACAATTGTTTCTTCTGCATCTTTCACATTCTTTGACAGGGCACCTATGTATTATACTTCAGTTTTGAAGGGTGCAGCTCCACCCCTCACAACTGCCACCTTAAGTGGATCTTACACACTAAAAAACAAAAACATGCTGAGTACAGTAATGTTTCACAAGGCTTGGAATGCAATATCTAACATTTAAAGTAACATTTTTTGGTAATATGTATACATAAGTATATATAACACAAGGAAATTTTTTTTTGTTACTAAGGTTTATTTTCACATTTTATATAATAAATCTAACCTATTCTGTCAAGGGATTATTGCACATCTGCACTGAAATGACAGAACTCTCCAAATTGGGCAAACAAAAATTACAGAAAACAAAGGAAGAAAGTATCTCACAACCATTTCTTAAAAGTTTCTGTGGTCTAGTATTGATTGTTTGTACTGCCAACTGAAATGTTGTTCCACAGGATTTAAACTACCACCACCATTATGGCACAATATATATATATATATAAAAAAGAAGTGGTGAATTAACAATATCAAGCAGATAGCAGAAACTTGAGTACAATACATAAATTATCTGTACTTCAAACAGCATGCATTCATCAGTTTGACAAAGCACTAAGGTGTTTTATCATCTGCTGTTAGATATTAGCTATTGTTTGAGCTAACCCAGGACTATGAACGTTTATCACGTCACATCTCACCACCTGGATGGTGTTATGGTACACAGTCTACCACTAGTTTTTACATTTCAGTTGGCAGGCATGCTTAAAGCTCACTATTTCAAGTGTCAACAGCAAACATGAGTTATCATCACTTGCAATACGAAGAGCTTAATGACTTACCACCTACTTATTACAATTTTTAATTTCTAAGCAGCTGTAAAGAATTATTATCGAACAACAAAAATAATAGATCAATCCCATAAAATACACCTTTAAATTTTTATAGGTTTAATATATTTTTTAAGTGACGTAACAGCACGACTGCCACTCACATTTATTTGAATATACTCAACAGGGAATGAAGAAACCATTAAATTCAGAATCTTGTACCATAAGGTAAACCCAATAAACATGAGAATATCTTACAATGTGAGTTAATTTCACATCATTTTAGCAATAGCACTTTCAAATATCTGTATGTGTATTCTGAAATTCGTTAAATCTTACAATGACAGTGCTAAGATATTTAGTGGTTTCCTGTTTCCCTTGAGTTTATTTTGAACAGCCATTTTGTTTAAAGAACACAATTGCATAAAATAAAAATGATAAAATATTAAATAATATGTATATGAAAAAAGTTGAATAATAAAAGCATTCTTATAAAACAATAATACAGATAAAACACTGAAAACTGCAAAATGAAAATAATATTCTTCAATTTGCTGGTTAACTACAAACTCAAGGAAACAAAAAGATTTTAAACTCTACTCTACAGTAAAAAAAAAAGGCTTGTATTGAGATAAAACCTCGACATTAACACATTAAGTGATTAATAACAAATGAACAAGCTACATATTTTTTCAGCAACTAGGAAGACAAATCATTTGGTTGTACATAACAACCACAATGCTAAAAACCTTGTAGCTTTTCCATGTTATCAAGGAGTGCAATTTCTGCACCCTGTATTTGCTTTGCTCACCCATCTCCACACACCTTATGCAATAGCAACTGGCAATGTGGAACTCCAAGGCAGTATGAATTCCACCTTGTGTGTGTGTGTGTGTGTATGTGTGTTTTTAAGCGTACTAAATTAAGGGAAGAGACTGATGGCCATTTGCAGATGTAACCGTTCGTTCAGAAGTGTTCTACGTTGTAATCTAATCAAATTGTGTGAAATGCATTGAAACAAAGACATCCCTTTTATAGTTTTAAAAATTCAATACTTCTATATCTAAAACACCTGTGATTAATTACAGATGCTTCACCACGACACAACTTAAATTTCAAATACATGAGTATTATTTCGAATCACCCACTTTTCAATTTTAGCTGGCAACAGGAAAAGGGAAGACGGATCAGATGCAAATGGCCAAGACCAAGAAAAGCACACAGGGCAGAGGTATGAACTATCTCATATTAAACTGCTTTTTGAAAAATTCACCACCACTTAAATACAGCCTTATAAATACCTCAGGAGCAAGCCCTTTGTGCTTTTCACTGTAAAAAGTGATGATTCTGGAACCAGAGACAATGGATAACAAAAGTCTGTACTGACAGGGAAACCATTTCAATTCTCAGTCACAACACTAACGCGGAACTGATTTCCCTGGCAATGCATTTCAAATTGTACCCAGTTCCACTATGGATGGAATGATACATGACAAGATTTCATATAAATATTAGAGACATTTTAACTTTTTTCTTCAATACTGACAAAACTAACAACACTTATTGCTAGTGAATTTTGGTGGGAATAATAATAAAAAGTTATATGTTGATACTTATTCCTTATGCACTATAGCATCCGAATTCAATATTTCTCAACTGATCAACATTTAATTATTGTATCCTTTAGATATCTTTGTAAGTTAAGTTTGTGTAATGCATAGGGTGAAAAGATGACTTCTTTACAGAGTAGCTATCTAGAAAAACAACTGTATTTTTGTACACATTGAAAAAGACTTGTGTGATTTGTAAAAATCATCAAAAATTCTATCACATTTACCACAAATATATAATATTTTTGTAGTTTTTATTATCTATCGAGGTAAATCAAAGGGGGTTAAAATTGAGGTTAGGCATCCCTCCTAAGCCACTAAATAGTTCAGGGATTTATACAAGATCGTGGCAAAGTGCAGGGGAGATGCCTAACGCTTAAGGTCAAAAAGTTGTGTAAATATATTTATATACTCAAAACATGTATAAGTTTTTAATCTGAGCAGGTTTATATATGTATATAATAAGAGAGAATGTATGTGTGTGTGTAAAATTTTGTTGCATCACTTAAGGCAATTAACAAAAATATATACCGACATATGTATTATGACTTATTAATACTCCAGTATCGTCCAAATTAAAATTCACAGTACCAGAAAACTTCAATGACACAATTTTGCCCTCTCTTCCCAAACTCCAAGTTCAGAAAACATTATCTTAACACCATACACAACTTTAAGTAGCCTACATCCCCCTCCCCCCCTGAAAGAAAAAGTAGCAGTCACAGTGTACACATAAATCACCTGCCCTAGAGATATATAAGCATAAGATTTTTTTGGCAATTGTTTTATACAAATTTTATAGAAACATTATGTTTGTTATTTTGTGAAACTTACTTTCTAACGTTTTGCCGCTAGTAAATATAGGCAGCACACAATAAAATAACAAGATACTAAGGTCACAACTGATCCTGAAGATACTATTATCACAGGCATGTTTTTATCAAAAACTTTTCTTTCTTTTCTTTTCAAAGTCCACCAAGAAATAACAGAGGAATAACATCTGCATTTTTTCAGCACTGATAAGACATGGTGAAGTATTAATTACATTTCACTCCATTTGTAACCAGCTGAAGAATGTGATCATCTATTCTAACCATCAAACTGATCCCAAAGTGCAAATGCCCAGATTTGGAACCATGGCTGTCATGGGTGATAAATTCTCTGAGGAGTGCAAGCACTTTGAGATAGTGACACTGAATCCATGAGACATATTATAAGCAATACTGACAAGAATAAAACCCATGGCAGTTATGAGGTTAACTATTTTCTTTAAAACTCAATATTCAGGTATACACAGAAAGAATGCCTCTTTGTGTTAGCGAAATTGTTCCAAAAGTCTCAAAACTTCTTTGTGTTAATTTTTCGGTTCTTTGGTGACTGGAAATGAAACCTGGTTTTGGCCATGTGATTGACAAGTTTCACTAACCATACAGGCACTTAAAAACGAGTGACAAAGAAGCTCAAAACTCGATGAAAATGTCCTCGTGCAAACGGTAGAGCACAGTGATCCAATTACACAACATGGGGGACTTCACAATCATGGAACACTTCTCAGGAATTTCAGTTTTGTTTCCATAAAGGGGACACTGACAAGTCTTTTCCCCAAAGAAATTGACAGACAAAACATGTGCAATAGTTTCTGTTAAGTCTTCTACAGTAAAATATCTAGTTTACTAAGTGGCTGGAAGCCATTTCCACTTTCACATGTGAGATTTTCCATTCACACAAAATGGGGAGCAAAAGTACACACATTAACGAACAAACAAACGTTACATTAACAGTTACATAAATCATGGCACAGTAAAATGCATACATTCCAATTTAAGACGCACGGTTGTTTTCGCGCTACCCTCTGCAAACTTGAGTTGCATACAAATATCATGAAAACATCATTACCTTATTCTCAGAACAAATAAAATTTGCAATCACACACTTAGTTACAACAGTATAATGAAAAATAAAAACTGACCTGAGTAAGTATTGTAATCATTACAGTTACTTTAAAAATAAACATCCATAAACTCAGACACACAGCCACTTTTAACCATTCATACACATGCATAAAAAACTCCCCTTTTAAGCATGAATTGTTTATATTAGGAACCATATAACTGCTGCTACTGCTAATAATAATAATTATAATAATTTAGTTAAAAAATATTTTAACGAATAAAAAATAATAATTAGTGTATATGTATACTTTTGCCTATAGTACTTGCGTTATTTGGATAAACTTACTAAATGCACTTTTTAACATTACACACCTTTAAAATAGAACATTCTGCCTAAACTAAACATCTCTTCTTTGCAAACGTAATCTTGAAACTAAACTAACATTCTGTTTTGACTACAGCACTCACATTTGAAAATCTTAATGTAGTCCTGACAAGACTGCTCAATGAAAAGTAACTATTATCATCATAAATTATGTACAGTTTATGGTTGCGAGATCAACTAAGTTGGAGACTATGGAAAACATCCACTGGGTTGGGATTTACAAGACGGAGTGATATGGGGCTACAGGAAAAAAGCACCAACCAAATCATGCTCCTAACCCTGTGACCCAACGGAGTTCCCCTAATATTTTGTGTCTAAATCTACAGTACGTATTTATGTATCTTGTTCCTCAATTCAATATTGGCAGCATGTCTTTTTCTCTTTAGCATTTCTTCATTATCTTCAGACATTATCTACATGATATAAAGTGTATTCAGGACCAAAACATGATGATTATTCTTCGCTAAAGTTACCACATAACCTTCAGATGTGATTTTTAGGCCACAGCAACGGGACACCTGACATGAAAAAGAAAATGCATGCATTTAAGTATACAACCTAAGCCATTAAGCAGTGTAAATAAATTTTGTAAACTTTAAAAAATATTAATTGTTATTTGGTCTACTTCTAAAACACGTTCCTTATTTAATTACGCATTCCTCCTAACAGCTCTGAGATCGACATATGGATCTTCATGACACATGGTATGAACCCCATAAAATTAAAGTTTTTCCTTGCACTTTTTAATTATATATCAACATGGCAGTCTATTAATTTTAAACTTAACTCACACTTAAATCCTTCACAACAAAGTTGAAATTGGGAAACCTCTCTTAATGCTCAACAACCTGGAGGACTATGATTATAATCAGACTGTAAAATTAGAAATGTAGATTTTTATAAAATGGTATCACCAGCCTCTTATCTGTCATATCAAACTTGACATAAATTATTAAAAATATTACATTTACCTTGACATAGGGGCACTCAAACTCTGAAAGAAGAGATCCATCTCTGGAAAACACCGCTACGTGAAAGCGATTCCCATGCGAATCACCCACCAAAACATCTCCAGCATCTGATATGTCAATCCCATTTGGGAAGTTGGTGATACTCTCACACCCAATGCGGCGCAAGAACTGTCCTTCTTCGTTGAACACAACTACACAATGGCCTTTGAAGTCGCAGACAAAATACTCCTTGCCTGTGAGAAAGCAATCTTTATTAGAACCATATAAAGTTTAGTATATTCATGACTAAAATATTGAAGCAAATTCATACTGAGTAAATATGTATTCTAATGGAGATGCTGTCAATATTTCTTTGGGCCATTACTCTGGTAAAATGTTTTTAAATCGCTGTGTATAATTATTCTGTTGTGTCCAATATCTAGCTGCCTTTTAATTCCACAATGTTTCACAAATTTGATTTCATTTCTGTCTTCAGACAAGGGGGCAAACCCCTTTGTCAATACAGTCTCAACCTTGAAACTTCATTCACACACCTGAAGACAAAGTAGTAATAACTTATCGAACACCATGGTTTTAATTAAGAACACTCAGATGACAGATAAAGAGCACCAGAATAATTATACTCAACTATTTTAACTTTGCTTCTGAATTACATTTACAGGCATACCTCGGAGATATTGTGGGTTCGGTTCCAGACCATCGCAATAAAGGGAGCCACACAAATTTTTGGTTTCTCAGTGCATATAAAAGTTATGTTTACACTATATTGTAGTCTATTAAGTGTGCAATAGCACTATGTCTAAAAAAAACAACGCAAGAACACTGCGGGAATTACCCAAATGTGACAGAGACACGAAGTGAGCACATTGTTGGAAAAATGGCGCCGATAGACTTGCTCGACGCAGGGTTGCCACAAACCTTCAATTTGTAAAAAAAGCTAGATCTGGGAAGCGCAATAAAACAAGGTATGCCTGTATAAATTAAAAAAAAAATTCAAGTTTAAAGGCCAACGAATAACAGTATGAGTATTTTAAAGACCTTTCAGTAATATTGATGTAACCAAACAGCCTCCTATACATGGTAGACAAAGGGCACATTTTATCAGAGGTCAGCTGGCTACCCAGTACACAGATGTGGAATGTACTGAGCTTTTACCTCCATTTCTTCACACCACTCAATTCTTTTATTGTCTGCACAATGTTTCCTCATCAATCAGCTGACACACTACACAGTCAGGATTACTTTATTTTTAGACTTAATCGATTGTATGGTATTCTATGAACATAAAATTTTTTTGAAAAGTAGATCTGTTTTTGTCCTAGGCATAGGGAAGAGGAACACCTACACAGCTGGGTCTATTTGAAAGAGCTAACCTGAATCATTGTGACTGAAGTTACTGTAAAGTAATAGCAGATTTAAACACCAATATTATACAGCTGTAATGGCCAGACTTTTATTCCGTGGTTAATAATTTTGGAGTATGCTACTATGATGTATGTATCATAAAAGAGAAGTCATTAAACAAATAACACTAACAAACTTACCACTTATTGCAATATCTGAGGGTTCCCGCATGTAATCGCTACAGTCAAACCAACGTAGCAGATCGCCACCCTCCGAAATTACAAATACTGTTGGTGACACACTATCGACAGCCACAATGTGACCTTGAGATGTGACTGCAAGCCCAGCTACTATGTCTATATACCTGCAATTAGAGATTAAAACATCAACAACTCTGAAACATAAAAACAAATATATATGCTTCCATGTAGTCTTAAGTCTTGAATGAACTTCTATCATCTGACTTTCATCACAGCTGATATTATCAATTTCCTAGTACCCACCTGATAGCAATTTTTTTAATGAAATGGCCATTCTTCGTAAAAATCTGCATGCGAGAACGTTCATTCCCACGATCACAAACAACAAATTTGCCAGTATTACGCATGACTGCAACTTTTCGTGGATACCATAACTGACCTTCTTCCTTGCCAGGAATACCAAACTGAAACTTGAATGTTCCTGTCTTCTCGAACACCTGAAACAAAACATTTTATAATTTTGCAACCTGACAAAAATTCTAGTCTCTGAAATAATAACGTACTTGTCTGAGTGAACTGATCTGAATTTAAAGGGCCCTCATATGGCAGGGTTTAAAAAAATGCAAATCAGACAATACAGAAATCATGTATCACATTAAAGGCCCAAAAATCAATGGACAAAATTTCTCATGCCACTACTGTAATCAGTATATGTAACACTTGTCCTCAGTCTGTTAAGACAACCTACTCCTTCCTCCCAAAAGTCAATAATTTAGTGTAAAATTTCACCTGAATGCGGTGATTATTAGTGTCTGCAACTATGATATCTTCCTCCGCTCCGAGGCAAAAGCCATGAGGTGAATTGAACTGGCCTTTACTCGGACCCAACTGACCGTACTTGCAACGAATCTGCATGGGCGTGAGTTTGCCTGTTGCAGCACGAGGGTGGTGGAATGATCCTGCCGGCCCTCCTCCTCCCACAATTACGGGTATGTTATGCAGATTGTCCCCTAGCAATTCATCTAGAACAGTTCAAAATAATATATTTTACACCTGCAGACACAGATAAAACCAGATTTGTTATGCAGCAGCCCTGAGGAAGAGAGCAGAGATGGCTCTCAAAATGTTGGCAGAAGATATGGTTTATTCACCATTCAGCCACCTAATGCAGCTGGTAACCCGAGTCTTTCATCAACTTCAGTCGCCACGAAAGCTTCACTTTATACGTCAGAAACTGTCTTAGTCCTTGGTTCAGACAGTTGACTACTCATGGCTCTGAACTTTCCAACACATTCTCCATGCACATCTTACCTGGCTGTGAAAGTATAGGTGAGGGAGAGCCTGACAGAGACTGAAAGCTTGCTCCATTCAGTGGTGTCATTGATGTATTAATCTCCAGGCTTGGTGAAGGATCACGTCCCAACACCAGGCTGCCTCCCCCAGGTGGGCCTCCATTCAAGGACCCATTAGCCAGATCTGAGATACAACGCACACTCTTCAAGTCTCAAAAATATCCCACATCCCTCAACTGTTAGCATACTGTAATACCAGCATTATTTATACTATACTATTTCCAAATACAACATTGAATAAATTTCATTCTGTAGGATTTGAGGTTTTCACGGCAGTGAGTCTGAAGATGGCTGTCTGCTGAATTGTTGTGCCATGTAGTCTGGTACAAGTGACTACGCATTGCCCTGATGAAGGAGGCAGCAAGGACCTCTGAAATGTTGGTAAATTTCTACCAGACTACATGGCGCAACAACCCAGAAGACAGTCATCTTGATGTTTCATTATTTAATCAAACTTGAATGTGTTACAAGAAAAAAAATTACTGCAGGTATATTCTAGCCTTTGTAACCTATAGTACGCATCATAAGTTCTTCCTAGAATTTCTTATTCCAGTCTGAAATGTTCAACTATTAAATTAAAATGGGACTTGGACTGGAAACATTCCCAGACGATAAGACCAAATTCTGTTATTTTTATCTGAAACACATAAATCTAGAAAACCTATTTATTACAACACAAACTACAGAAATCATGTAGAATCAGAAATGGCAGAATTAATAATGTTATCAATGAGATGCAGGGAGGGATACGAAAACGTGGAAAATATGACTTGAACCTTTTACAACGATTAAATCTTCTTCAGCTAGCAGCCACATCGATCTGGAACAGGAGTCCAAAATTTCAGAGACCCTCGGTCTCCATAAACACACAGCATTCATCCATCCCATAATTCCCCGATGATGAAACAAACATGGTTTCTGAAATGTTGGACTTCTGTTCCACACTGATGTGGCTGCTAGCTGAAGAAGATTTTATCGTGGAAAATAATTACGACAGAACCAGACAGCCCTGAATAGTATTTACATATCATTTTTACCTGCAGTTATATCAACTGTACATGCAAAAAATTATGCTTGTGTAACTTACAAGTGATTTATATGTGACTAATTTTACACACCAGTTTTTGCTTCTCTATAACATTTTCAGTGTTGATGCAAACAAATATTTGGCTCTGTTTATTTCTAGCAAATGGAGCTCACCATTAAGGAGAGCTGCAAGGGTCGGGGGCAGAGCCTGGCTAGGTGGAGGGGTGGGGTTGGAACTATGAACAGTATGACCAGCCCCAGTCTGTGGTGATGCACCATGAGGTAGGGGGTCCACTAAATTCACAGTCTGACCACCATTCACCACAATCTGACCTGTGAACACCCCATCATTTCTTGTTAACATAAATACAACCCCTTTTACACTTTATCGCACAGGTGATGCACAAATAAGATTTGCTCTTGATGAACCACTTTCATATATTACCCAAATTTACCTGCAAAAATATAATTGTCATCAGATTTTAAATCAATGTATGCCGATTAGTCATCCACCATTAATGGCTTACGCAAGTCCAGCTGCAGTTTAAACCCTGAATTCTTGTACTATAAAGGTGAAGTTACAATTTTTGTTGTATTTTTCACAAACCAGCCGGATCAAGAAGAAATGTCAGTACTGCAGATAACATAGTTTCAATATGCTTTGACAACCTTTCACTTTTCAGAAGATAAAAAGCAAGCCATGTCTCAGATTCAGATATATAAACAATTTAAATAGGAATGCTTATGTCCTCAACAAAAAGAAAATGGATATTAAAACTGCATAACTCACTCAGTCGCTCCTATCGTACTTGGATTAACATCACTTATATAAAATAAGTCAATGTCCATATTAATTAGCGATTACTTCAGTTTTCTACCTAGAAAACATTAAGGTTACAAAGCGGAATGCATAATTATTCTAAAAATTCCATCTTTACCTATCACTGATGCTTATGCTAATAGTGATATAATTTTGAGCTCCACTGCATTGGGATTGGTAACTTACCTTGATTGTTGAGCGATACACTGCCCAATTTTGCCAGGGCCTGCAGATTGTTGAGTGCATTGCTTGTTGAGCTGATGTCCCCAGAGAAAAGATCAGCCAGTGTGAAGGAAGGAGTCGGACTTGGGTTTGAACTCGGGGCAGGATGCGAAGGTGGTACTCCAACAACTGGAGAGCTTGCTGCTTCCTTTTCTGCAAGACTTGCCAACTGTTGAAGATTATACTCTTGAATGCTAGTTAAACCATGAAGAGATGTAGGGGGCAGGGTTGGTTGAACTGGAGGAACTTCTGTTGGTCCTATCACACCTGGAGGAAGAGAAAAAGCAGGGCCAACTCCAGACGCAAGCTCGCCTTCAAATGAGGATTGCATTGATGCTGGAAGAGAAACTGGGCTGCTGGTACTTGTAACAGTGCTAGGACAACCATTTGCAATGCCTATTCCTGCAGCACTAAGAATACCACTTAGATTGAGTGGCTGAACTCCTGGCAAGGTTGGTGATGGTGTCGTTTCTTTAGGCGTCGATACTGTATCTGTATGAAATGTTCCAAACGTTGCCTGTTAGGGACAGAAAGTAATCATCAGTATCATTCCAGTAATAAAGCTGTAACATAAAATGCAAAGTGTAAAACGGTGATTCTTTAAACCAAGCCAATGTATTTAGCTCTATGTCTGAAATGTGGTCTTGCTATAACACTTAATAATTACTCAACTACAATGAGGATCTCAGTAAGAGTAAGAAGCAAACAGTGGACTGTTATGAATATTGCAGTTGACAGAATGCAGAATTTCAGATGTGAATTAATTACATGGACACTATGCATGCGCGCATACTTTGCCCACGTAAATCACCAATCCTAGAAGTGTTCTACACTTCTAAATGGATCGATACACTTAAAATAATCATACCAGTCACTTTCTATCTCTCGAGCAGTTCTGTAATGACGCACTCATATGGGTCAAGTTTGAAGTGCTGTTCCTCAATATAGGACAAAATTTCAAAAACTCTCCCTGATCAGTAACTGTTTCAAATGATAGTGCACACACATGTGCTCTCTCTCTCTCTCTGTTACACATAGGTTCTTACAATGTAAGGTTTTGCCTGATTCTCTTATAAGAAAAAGCAAATTCAGATTTTGTGATGGTTTTCTTGCTGATGAAGTACAATGAACACATGTTTCGGGTTTCACACATCAACTGGTAATACAGTCAACAAACATTTGTCATGATGCCCAGAAATTTCCAAAAATAACAAATATTTTACTAATTAATCTATATATACGAGATAAAGAAAACCTTATTGGACAGAATATGACTGTAACTACTTAACTCTTGACTGATAACTAGTCTGGAAGACTTTTACTTAAATTCTTCAATATAAGTTAAATTCTCTTTAAATGTTATATTTTTTAGTATCTGAGGTGTAGCATTACAAATTACGGTCCACCATGTTATAAGCGGCTAAGAATTAAAGCGCAAAGAACATAATTTCTATTACTTTTTTATTTGATGAATCACTTACGATGTCTCAAAAAATGTAATATACTCACATATGTTTAGAAGTTTGTATATTAACTAGAGTAAAAATTTGCAACTGGAAAGACAAATCTAAGCTAACTGGCAACCATGCTGTAACATACTTCAAATGTAAAAGCCAGAGGAGGAATGACATACATACCTTGACAGCAGCCTCAAATTTAATTATGTCTGTTTCAAACTCAATAGATGTGTTCACCTCAGGCTTAGGTGTATTATTAATCAAATGCAGCAACTGGGCCCCAACCACTCCTTTGAGGGACAAGACTTCAACAGTGTTCCCATATTCCAAAAGCCGTGACGTAAATTTACACGCATCATTAATTTTTTCCATAGTTTTTTCAACACTGCAACAAGAACAAAAAAGTTTTATGTGGCCACAAGTCACAAAGGACAATATGATATAATACAAATGTATTTGGAATATTGTAATTTCTGAAGCAAACCTATGAAATGTATCCATTATTTTCAGTTCTCGTTTGGAGTGCAACTTCTGCAAATCCTCTAAAGTCTTATCCCTACATTTTTCCAGGACTGCTTTGTAGCTTTGGAATGTTTCCTGGATCAGATCTTTAGCACAATCATGTTGAACCTGCAACTCGCTGAGAGCATTTGCTAGATGGCTTGATGCATCCTCACAAAATTCCACCTTAGACTTGCTTTCAGTCATCAGACTCTGAAGTTCTTCACGCTGACGATCTTCTGCTTCAGACAAACGCTCGTACAGGTGTTCTGGAGCTTTATGCTCTTTCAGCAGACAATCATTGCACACCGGTACCTGCAAAAGACTCTAACTTTATGTAACAAGCTCGATGTTCAATCTAGCAGTATATCAGGTTGATTGTGGTCTTCTGGGTTGGATGCCATGATGCTTCTACTCAGAAGTTGGAGGTGATACATTCTTCCGATACGATGGAAATCACCTATAAGACTAGGGTGGAATCAAGATCCAGAAAACCACAACCAAAAATCTGTTAATACATCATAGCCAGAAGGATGTTCTACTTACCCAATGTACTTACATTACGCAACAACAACAAAATTATTCATAACCCTACTCAAATGATATGTGTAAGAAATAGAATCAGCGCCAATAGCTATACTTGGGAGGGGGCGGGAGTGTAAAGGCAGAACTTGCTCAAACCCTAACCCTATCTGACATAGAAGTTTCTTTACATTATTGCCAAATAATTCCTATATTTTTGCAAACCTTGTACATCTTCAAACCAAACTTGCAAGTTTCAATATTTCTTTGATGTCAACATATTTTGTGCCACCTCTAATTTCTGGGATTAATTTTGGTTTAAAATCCAAATTTCACTATGGTAATGAAGTGTTGCTATAGCTGTGATGTGTAGAACACATTTTGTATCAAATGACATGTGTTCCCAAATTTCTTCTCGTTATGCCATTTACTTTGGCTTAAGTCAACACCTTATTGTAAAAAACATGGCACACAACATTTTATATCTGATGAAGAATCATTCACTTTTCTATTAAGTGTGGACTGTTTCTAAGAAAGGCATGCACAAAGAAGTCACAATCATTGGCGCCCCATACAGAACTGTTGTGTCAGCCTGCCATCAGGGGGAAGAGAGAGAGAGAAATCAAAGAAGAAGATGACACCTAGGGGTTCTCCAGTATGTGCCAGGATTGAGGATATCTGCTGCTCCTGATCTCAGCAAGTACATAAGAGAAGTTACTGTCTGGACATCACCAGGGTGTAGACAAAAGCAACATCATTTACCTGACGAACACGATTTTAAGCCCCTACAATAAAATAATAATAAAAACACCTGTGCTATGTTAAAACTTGCCAAGTGGATCATGACGTGACAATCCCAGTGGGGTCATACGGAAGTACCTCAACATAAAAACTACATGTACTGTCCACAGATGACGAGATAAACCCTGCTGGGGGAAGTCGTTTCTGGTGCGGGAGGAATGTTACTTATCAGCTGGACTAGAGGGCTGCTATTGGTGGGAAGGGTGATATGTCAGAGTTTAACTCTACTGCACACAGACTGAAAACATCAAACAGTTAAGAGTAGCATGTAGTGAGCGCATTTGTAATGTGTTCTGTGAGTGTTGTGATAATATTCTAGATTAAATCACTGTGCCACTGTGAGGTAAACTTAAAGCTGTACCCATTTGAACACATGAAAGCCTGTCGTCTGTTGTTTGTTCAGTGGTTGTGGAATGAATGCTTTTAGGATGGGTCGTCACTCACCGCGAAATCTTGCGCATGCGCGTATATCAAATTCCTAGCAGGGATTTTCTCCTGATCTGTGAACTGTAGAGAAGTTCTACAAAATTTGTACATCTGCAGTTTCACAATTCCATGTGGAGAAGGGGAAACCATATGAAACCATACATGAATTCCAGACACTAAATATTCCTATTACCACGCAAAAGAAATATGCATTAAATCCATGAACAATATAAAAAGCTTTAAAAGAATACAATCATCAAAAGTTTTATAATGTGATGCTACTTTAGCTGAAACACTGAGGTACCAAAGGAATAAATTCTAAACACAATGTTTGTTACTTGTGGGTTATCGGGACACACCGCTTTAAAAATAGGTTAGGTTAGGTTAATGTGTGTGGACAGCAATAAATAACTGAACAAACTAACATATAACAACAACCCTAACCTAACCTAACCTATTTTTAAAGCGATGTGTCCCGATAACCCACAAGTACCCAATGTTCTCAGATATATCATAGATATTATTAAAAGAGGTTGAAAGATTTGTAATTACCTGGCAAGAAAGACAGAAGAACTTCATATTTTCTGCAGGATGGTTCTCACAAAAGATTGGCTTATGAATTGGAATTACTTCATGGGAGTTCCTCAATTCTTCAAAAGCTAAAACATGGTGATTTTCAAAACAACGCATGAACTGTAAGAAAGCAAATCAATAATCTGTTACCATTAAGCGATAAATTAATATAGTGGTACCTCAGTGAACTGATAACTGAAATTATCATTAATCAAATATTGGAAATACATGTTAAAGGCTTAATTCATTCCAAGAAAAGCAAAGCTCATCAAACACTGAAAAGGAAGCCAGGTGAGAAACAAACGCTTATAAAAGCGGTTGCTGATTGGCTAAGAATGGCTGAATCCACCTAGGAGCACTATGAATGGCTGATACTGGAGGCCATGTGATATCATAATGGCTTAGGGAACCCGAAAGTTCATCACCAAATTAACCAAAGCCCTACATTGATCCATGTCCTGGGCCAGCAGAATCCAGTCTCCTTCAACTCCCATAGATTCTGCTTGATATTATACTTCCATCTACATCTAGGTCTTCCCAGTGGTCTCTTCCCCTCAGGCTTCCCAACCTATACCCGGTGCACACCTCTCAACCCATCCATGTGTGCCACATGTCCTGCCCAACTCATTCTTCTTGACTTAATCACTCTGACAATACTTGGGGAGAAGTATACATTTTTAAGTTCATCATTATGCAGTTTTCTCCATAGCCCATCCTCTTCTCTCCTAGATCCAAATATCCTCAACACCCTATTCTCAAACACCTGCAATCAATGTTCCTCCCTCAGAGCAAGAAACCATGTTTCACACCCATACAAAACAACAGGCAAAATTATTTTATATATTTTAATTTTTAGGTTCTTAGAAATCAGACAAAATATTTTGAACTAAAAAGTTGCAAGGATTTAGTCTCCTCGTAATTTCCTTGTGAATATCATTTTGATATCCTATTGTTGTTCCCAAATATTTAAACCTTGTCACACTTTCAAAGGATTTATTAGCCACCCTAATATGATTTTGCCCACCTGTCTGCTGACGGGACACTAACGTGTACTCAATTTTTTCTGAATTTATTTCTAGGCCAATCTTTCTAATAGCTTCCAGTAAAACTTGTGTGTTCCTCTTTATCATATTTATATCATCACCCAATAAATTAACATCATCAGCTTATGCCAACAGCCGATGTGTCCCATTCAATTGCAAACCCTCCTGCCTATCTTGAACTTTCCTGATGACATATTCTAGCGCAAAGTTAAAGAGCAAGGGAGACAAAGCATCTCCTTCTTTCAGACCATTCTTGATGGAAAATGAGTCTGATAAATATTTACCTTTATGAATTTTGCTACAGGTGTCATTTAAGCACATTTTTATTTGACGCACTAGCTTCTTTGGTATACCAAATTCAATGAGAATATTGTATAACACTTCTCTCTTAACAGATTCGTAGGCTTTTTTGAAATCTATAAACAACTGATGTACAATCCCACTGTACTCCCATTTTTTCGCTAGTATCTGTCGAATGCCTTAAGACACTGAATACCTATACCAAAACAAACATATGCAACCTATGGCCTTCAGGCAATGTCAAATGCCACTACTGCATTATAATGGCACATAAGAAAATACTCGGACAGTTAAATTCTTCTACTAAGTACCTTAATTTGAAAGAACTAATGAGTACCTGTCCAAAGTTACAAACAGCCCCTAAAAGATACTAAACAGATCATACAGATCAGCAGGTTAATATCATTATTAAAATTTCTTTGGTAAAATGAATCACATGGAAAGGTTTTCTTCATCATACAGGAACTGCAGATTTTTCATAACTTTTCTGTTTTATAAAATAAAAGGCTGAAAAAGTTACTGAGCCATTTCATCAGAGATCCATTTGTGTATCCTAATATGTTCATTTTAAAGTTTAATATTTTGTGGAGTGTGTTATGACTTAAAAATTTCTGATCCAAAATGGTTTAAAATTACAAAAATTTTCTACATGTCTGTTCTAGAACATGAGAACAGATCTATGGCTATATATAAGATCACCACTTATGAGGATTTTGGTAAAAAATTATTCAAAGCGATCATGAAAACATAAGTACAATATTCAAGAAGGGTGATTCAAACAAGAAATAAAACAAAATATTAATTTAACATAAAAAATTAAAATTACATTTAATCACTGTGAATACCAGTGGCCAGGAGCATTATACTTTCAACGTAAAATTTTAATTTATGGTCTGAAGTAACAATTAAACCGCGAGATTTGAGGTTTTCATGTCAGTGCAATGCAGACCCAACTTACATGTGAACGGCTTACCTGGTGTGCCGTGTTGCAGTTAGGACACAGGAAATTGGCACAATCAGAGCATCGAGCTACAGCTTTCTCCTTGGCCTTGCAACTAGTGCACAAAACCGCCATACTCTCAATGGCTGACATATCCAGAATATTGACGAGGACATGATCACAAGGCAGGGAACCGGCTCCCTTACTACCCACCTGCAGCATACAACATTTCATTCCAGTATTCAAATGTCAATGTGAAGATGGCAGTCTTCTGGGTTGTAGCACAATGTAGTATGGTAGAAGTTTACCAATATTTCAGAGGTCCTTAATGATGACGGATACAAGGACCTCTGTTATGCTGGGAAACATATAAGAGACTACACAGTGCTACAACCCAAAAGACAGCTACTTAGGTAACATAAAATTTAAGATCACTAAAAGATAAAGAGTCTCTCACAATAAAAATACTGTTTACCACGCAGTAAAATCATAAAGTACAATTAATGGGTAAATACACTACCTTATAACTAACGTAACAGAATATGTTAGCAAAAAAGTTAGTCAAACTGACCATTACATCCAAAGATAGAGGGCTACATAGTTTTAAACATTCAAGCCAGTACTTTAACCCCCACTGGCTACACAATGCGGCAGTATTTTAAAGGTCCTGTAGGAGTATTTTTACACAAACGTTTCGAGTGACTACCCGAGATAAAGCAACGTAAGAACATTTAAATGCTGGCAGAACGTACACAGGCTACGAGCTTTATGGGTTAATATAAAAATTCTCTAAAAGCACCAAATAAGTAATTATGAGATAAAAAATGTACCTTTGTCTCCTGTTTGCAATTTGGGCATTTAATTATGTTGTCTCTTTTCCCAGATTCTCCTGTTCCATCCATAAGCATCTTCTCCAGGCAAGATTCACAGAAGACATGCAGACAAGACAACACACGTGGACTGGAGTACTTTTCGCTAAATTGGAGGTTGAAAAACAAACTTAGCCCTAGTTGGTGCCAATGAAATACATAATATAATCATACAATATCACCAGAGCTTTATTTATGGTTTATTTAAAGCTATGAATAGCTCAGACTATATAGCAAAAAATTATTGGATTATTAAATTTTATTGGCTGTGAATCACAGCTTATCTATCAATGGTCCAATCAGGTATGTAATAAAAAGCACATCACTAAAACACACTGAATACTAAAAACTGCCAAACTTAATTAACATTTAGGGATTTACTTACAACAAAATAAAAACTTTGGGAAACTTATACTTCATGAATACCTATTTGTAAAATCATGAACAATTATGGTGGTGTGGTTTAAACTTAATTCGGTTTTGTTTAATTTTATATGAAATGACCTTAGCATGCTTTCACATACAAAACAGAAGATTAATGGGAAAAAATTAACTTCACAGCTACTCTCCCTTTCAAAACAGGACATCATGAAAACTAATTATGGCAAATATTGTTACAAAATATTCCTTTTTTCCTACAACAGGGGCCACACGATAACTTGAACTCTGCACAAACACTGTAAGCAACATAATAAAAAAAACGTTGTGGTTTGTCATTCTTCTTGTTCAAAACTGTATCCAAATTGTGTTGAAGTGTAAGTGACTTAGAAATTTAACCCCATATTAGACAGCTGGTGCAAATCTGCTGTAATTGGTACTTTTTGCTTTTTAGGCACTTGTTGCACACCAATTTTCTTCTTATACCCTTTTATCCCCTACACGGAGCACAGGTGCCTCCTTTTGGAGGTTTCTGATATATTTTTAGACATATCATAGGGAATCCTTGGACGAGTGATCAGCCCATCCCAAGGCCTCTACCAAAGATATGGGGGAGAAATGGCCACTAAATTTAGATTACAAAACATCTTGTTCATGCTTGTACAGTTCTTTTAAATGCCGTAAATCTAAGACATGGGACTGCTGGCTTTACTTCCCTTCCGAAGGAAGTCGTGCTATGGATTTCTTAACATCCTTAAATGTCCATCGACCTCGGCCGGGTTTTAACTCGCAAACCTTGGGTCCAGTGGCAAGTACGCTACCACTAGACCACCGAGGGCAACTTGCATGATAACAGTACTTATAAAACTAAAATTGTGAAATTAAAAGAATTTTCACAATTTTAGTATTTTCCAATTGCAATGTAGTCAGTGACTTCTGACTCAGTAAAGGCCAAAGGTACAACCCCTTAATTTTGTTGCAACAGCACATTTATATTTAGGGTTACCATTTTTTGATGTTACAAACTGGGACATAGAACAAATATGGGAGAGAACGCAGTACAAGACTGAGTTTCACTGAACGTCATGGTCAAGTGATTAGCACTCCTTCTTCATATTCAAGAGGTCCCAGGTTCAAATCAGCCTAGAGACCAGCTATCCCGATTGCTATTTTCAGCTTTACATCAGTCCCTCCATGCAAATACCGGGATAGTACCTTAAATCGGGCAATGACAGCTTCCTTCCATATCCCTTCTAATCAATTATTCACTATAATCTACTCATTTGACACTATACAGTCTGAGCTACTGAAAAAGCATCATTAAATAGACTATAAATGAATAAATAAATATGATTGAATTTCATATCAATTCATGCTTGTGCACTGTATGAATTTAAAATAAATTAAAATTATAATAATTACATCAAATTTTAAACTGTCCTCATATCAGATAATCATTTGTGGTTTCAACTCAGTAATAGGTCTCGCCTGTCTCACAGTGTTGTACTGGCATAAAAAACATTATATAACTACAAATTCCCTTGAATTTTGGTGATTTAATATGACATGAATCTATACTCAAGGTAGTCCCAGCATTTTCTTGGAAGGTCTGAGGAAAACAAAAACTTCAATCAAGATAACTGGTCTCACGTCCGAGATTTGAAGCCGTAATATCCTGAACACTAAGCAGGAGGGATAATCAATGTGCTGTGATGCTTAGTCTCATCATGCAAGACTGAGAAACTTAGTGAACAGCCTAACAAGGTAACCTGTAAGATACTTCCATTATATGACACATATTTCATAATAGTTATAACATCAATAGTTTCACTTTCCCTAATTTATCTCACCTGCATATATTGCATATTTTATCCTGGTTTTCAGACGGACTAGATTCTTCTAATGGGCCAGGGCTACTTCCTCCAAACCCATCTCCAAATAGGCCTAATTCATTTTCATCGCTGGAATCCATTTCCATGATTGAAACACGGATTTGAATGCTTTGTTTCAACTTTTGTGTTGCTGATTAATCAGAACTTCAAGCTTTCACTGGTGCAGACTCGACCTTAAATAAAAAATACCATCGTCTTGTAAATGCGTGATTACTGCAACTGTACAACCCTTATAACGGCCACAAAACAATTGTCATTTTTGTGTCCTTGGGCTTTTTTAAGTGCCGCTTAGCTTGCTGCAGAGATGTAGTACACATGCACCATTTCAGTTACTTGAATCAACTTAAAGCAAAACAATACTATTCATTCGTCTACATGGTTTAGAAACCGTAATAAGGACTGCTGAAATTCATAAAAATTATCTGATACTATCTACGACAAAATCAACGAATACATCGGAGGTCAAATTTATCAATGTCAATATTCGACGCACAGATGTTTAGAGTATCAGTAATATTGATATGAACTCACAAGTCAACTAACGCTATTACCCACAGCGGTTAATAATACATAATATAATTAATCTGCTTCCAATAGGAGATTCCACACAAATTTAACACTCATAAGCAGAACTTACCACTGCCATGGCAAATGGCGCGAACCTCATCTGTTCTAGCAAAAAACGTATAACACACTCTCTGATTAGCTTAAAATCACAGACAACAAATAACACCTGTGTGCCACCATTTTCAGTCTGTCAGGCATTATTATTATTATTATTATTAACACTCTGGTTTCCCTTCAATACGCATAAATCTTTCGCCTTTTACCAAAGATTTCCGCGGAGGGGAACATATGATGAGTCTTTAAATAATAATAATTATTATTATTATTCATTGCTAGCTAAGCACTGAAAATAATAATAATAATAATTCAACACACAATTACTGAACGTTGCACTTCTGCTTCCCGAATTTCAAAAGTCGAACTGTCTGTTCTGAGGGTTTTCTTGGTTTTTTTCAGTCCTTTCAAGGAAGTGTCGCGATAATGCCCTAAGTTAGTCCACGAAACTGCTTCCTTCCATATCCTTTGCTATTACTTATTCACTAATCTTCGCATAACACCACGCAATTTGATAAATTAGAATTTAGTTGGTATCTCAAGGTAAACTCTACACTTGTCCATTACAGTAATCTAGAATTTAATGTCATTTAAGGATGCACTACATGATGTATGAAACCTATGAATAGAACATCTTTAACGCAGTCCTTCCTGCCACCATGCTCTTGTGGTATTCATACTGAAGCCAAGAAAGGGCCCCACACCACCTTTGTACAGTTCCATTTGTCTTTTTGGCACTGTTGGCAGACTCTTCAATCCATTAAGTAAATATTTGCACATGCCATTTGTAATTGATAATCTAATTACATGTAAGTAGATTATCACTGAAGAAGCATGAAGATGGCCATCTTCTGGCTTATTGCACTGTGTAGTCTGGTAGAAGTCTACCATTGTTTCTGATGTACCTGCTGCCTCCATTATCAAGGCAATGCTGGTAAACTTCCAATAGACTACACAGCACTGTAACCCATAAGATAGCAATGTTCTAATTAAATGTAATTTTCAAAATATTAAATATCAAAATAAAAATAAATAATCTCAACACTTGTCACTATTAGCATAGGATGAAATCCTCAGGGTAGATGCTGAATGTGAATGATTTAATTAGTATAATGTTATACAAGACATGTCATACATGTATTAAAACATAAATATCCATATCTTTTCAATGAACATTTAAAATACATTTTATTCTCAGGATCATAAGGAAGCACTGCTTTTGTTAATGAGGCCATCTCATATGACTAGACTGGTCATGAGAGCAGATCATACTTATTGTTGCCCAGTTTAAAAAATATGTAATATGGATAAAAAAGAATAATAGAGAACTATTTACTTTATAAAAAACATTAGTCATTAACTGTGAAACCTATAAGTAAAAGTCATTCCGAGACATGTAGCAGATCTATTAAGATAGCCGCAACTCTGAGAAATGAGACACATGCCTGACACCAAAAATGTGATACCAGTATGTGAGAATTGTAACTTTGTAGCACATTACTGTATATACGGTACATAATGCATATGTGTAACATATAGAGTAGTGTATTTTGAACAAATTTCTATTGATGTTTCTGTTTTTAAATATATAAATGAAGAATCATTCTGCAAAATTCTGAGACCATTTAATCATACATTGTTGGAATTATTTCTCTTCATTCTTACAATAAAAAGAGAATCAAATGATTCATTAGTAAATGTTTTGAAAACAAGTGTAGGCCACTGCCAGAAAATGCGTGGTAACACTCTGAAACCACTTCAAAGAAATGATTCTGCCTTAAAAATTCACCAATTCTTTATTCAGTCTGACATATATATATATATTCCCTAACTAAATGAATTCATCAGTGCTGGCAATAAGAAACATTAGAACACTTGAGTGATAAATATTACTGAAATCTCCTTACAGAATAATTAAAAATATTGTGAACTCTGAGATAGATTATCACACAAGCCCATCACAATTTCTAAAAGGCCAGCTGTAGGCACATGATGTACAAGAACTAATTAAGAATATGCAGAGACACAAAACATGAAACTGATAAAGTACATGGAAAACAGAAATATTGTGAGATTTCAGGTTCTTACAGCAGCAGTAAAATGATGACTGTCTTCTGGGTCGTTGTGCTGTGTAGTCTGGTAGAAGTTTACTGATGTTTCAGGGGTGCTTGCTACCTCCATCTTTGCTCAGTGCCCTGATGTTGGAGGCAGCAAAGACTACTCAAACACCGGTAAATTTCTACCGGACTATGGGATGCAATGGCCCAGAAGACAGACATCTTCAATGAATATATTGTACTATATGGCACATAATCTTCTGAATTACAGTACAATGTATGATCTGAAGCATTCATGGTGACTAAGCATAATGACTTCTTTTCAGGCTACCAGCTGTGTCAGGTGATTTTAATGAAGAACACACCAACACCATGTGACATGGTTGGTAGGCCGAGAATAATTCATCTAATACAATGGTTATCATGAAGGTAATAAATGGTTGTGGTAGTGGTTATAGTAGAATGGACAGAAATGTAGGAAAGTAAATTATATAAAGTGATGTCTGGGGGTCAATTTTTTTGTACAACTAGTCTGATATCTGTTATACTTTGACACAGATAAGTGTATATTGTCAAAATATTTCTAATTCAATCTATAAATGTCCACATTTTAATCTTTAGTTTCCTTGCTATTTATACTAATCTTCACAAGGCAAATTGTGTTACAGGTCTACACATATCATCTGTATTAAATTAACTAAAATGTTAAAAATGACTATCTGAAACCATGAAAAGCATCTCACAAAGACAATAAAGCAGTTCAACAGATAATTCAGGAATGTTATGAGACAAATAAAATAATTTCCAATTAACTTCAGACTATCTGGACACAAACACAAACGACCATTAGGACAGAAGAAATACTGAGTAATAATTCTGGTAACAGAGGATGTGACACAATCAGGTAGATACTGGAATGAGATTCTACATCTGGAATTACGGGAAGACACTATTAAGCAATACTAAATTCATGGACACGAGGTGGAAAAAGATGAAGATGAATGCTACTTTTACCAGAGGTCTAGAAAGTACAAGTAAATACCCAAACAAATGAAGACAACTGTGTTCTGAGATATTGCACCATGTAGTCTACTAGAAGTTAACCAACATGTCAGAGATTATGCCTCCATTATCAGACTCATTGCCCCTGATGACAGATGCAGCAAGTACCTCTGAAAGATAAGTAAAATTCTACATGGTGCAACATCCCAGAAGAATCCAAACAACAGTTTGAGCCTCAATTACTACATAACAATAGAGTCTAATGCATCAATAAGACTGTCACATCTTGCAGTTTGTATCATGTGTGGAATATCAGCTAGAGTGTATCCTATTCAAGTCTCTCAATTTACAAATAACCTTGTTCAAATTATAATTAAATCATTCAAACAATTAAGTGTGCCTTTATATCCATCCAGTGTTTCAATATTTGCAAGACAATAAATGGAACCTTTTAAATAATCAGCTGTGGCTGACAAAGTATTTTGTGCATATGAATTCCAAGCCAAGAAATACTTCCTTCCTTGATTACAATATATGTAGAATGAGTGGTAACTCCATTATAACTGCGTACTCTTTAATTTCTTTGATGTAGAACATAAGACACACAAACATTCTCTTGAATGACAAGAAAAATTATACAGTAAACTGAGACAAAAAAGGTGAATGAATCACTGGATCCTACGTCCAAGACGCCTAAAGTTTAATTTGTGAACATTTGGAATTATCTCTATTTGAGCAATTTTTTAAAGAAATACTCTTATTGCTGACTTCCTTTACTGATCAATTCTTCTTCTTATTCTTTTAAGAGTCTTTTATTACTTACCCGCATAAAATTTTAAGATCATGTGAAAATATATGTGCTTCCTACATAATAAACTACCCATTGCATTAAAATGTTCTAATATCTGATAATACAAATTTAACAATTCCATTCTTTATAAGTACAAACATCAGAATTTACTACATCTAGATATAGATAAACATATTTCTAATTATAAAATATAGACTATTATAATTTCATAAGTATTTTTCTTTCCAACCGCTGATGACTTAATGGTGAATATGATCCTGTAATTTTGTGCCATGCCTGTGGAGGAGTGGAAGACTGCATACCTTCTTGGTATTGTGAAGAATCTGCGACAGGTGTCTGAAGCATTCTAGTTCTTTCTTTAGGCCTCGAAGGAAGAGGACTGGACCATCTGAAAGTTACAAGACATATAATTAAAATGTTTTACCTTCTTAATGTCCATTGACAAA